CACAAGTTAATCTGACCAATCAAAGTTTACCCAAACCACGCCCACCACCTTCTCCACCCAAGAACCTGCCACTTAGTGACTACAGAGAGCTCTCCTTATACTACTTCCCTCCAGACCTGACTCTGAAGCAGGGTGGATGGATGGATGGATGGAGGGAGAGATGGATGGATGGACAGATTAATGCAATGATTCCCAACCAGGGGTACATGTACCCTGTGGGGTATGTGAGCATATTACTGGGGGTATGTGGAAAAATTTCCCAGGTGTGTAAAAAAAGTAAATAAAAAACAGTACTGAGATAGGGCCCTATGATTTCCACAATGTGGAAATTGCAGTCTGAATCACGGAATTAACACAAAATGGAATCCAGTATAAAACGTGGAATCTCACAGAATTTGCTCATTTGGGTGAGTTTCTTTCTTTTTTTCTCTCTAAGCCACTTCATTAGAAAGCAGGACTGAATATTAGTTTCTTAGTTTCTTCATCATCAGTGACCTTTTTTATTTATTTACTTATTCACTTTCAAGGKAACATTTTTTTATCTTTATGTTTAATTTGAGTTGAAAAAAATAAAATGCAGGACAATTCAACATTCTAGGGGGTTAAATTGATAATTTTCATTTAATAATCAGTTGCAGTAAATTTTAGCTTTGGAGAATCGTCATTAAGTTTGACTGAAGTACTAGTGGCATGACAAAATGGCTCAGGGGTACACACGACTAAAGGTTGGGAACCACTGGTCTAAAGTCCTAAAACATTCCAGCACTTTCAGGACCTTGGACAGTCCCTTCAACCCTTCACACTGTCTAAAGTCCTAAAACATTTTGGCACTTTCAGGACTATGGACAGTTCTGTCAGTCCATCACATTGTCTAAAGTTGTGAAACATTTCAGCACTTTCAGGACTTTGCACAGTTCCTTCAGTCCTTCACACTGTCTAAGGTCCTAAAACATTTCAGCACTTTCAGGACCATGGACAGTTCCTTCAGTCATTCACACTGTCAAGGGTCCTCAAACATTCCAGCACTTTTAGGACCATGGACAGTTCCCTCAGTCCATCACAATAAAGCTCTAAAATATTTCAGCACTTTCAGGACCATGGACATTTCCTTCAGTCCTTCACACTGTCTAAAGTCCTGAAACATTTCAACACTTTCAGGACCTTGAACAGTTCCTTCAGTCCTTCACACTGTCTAAAGTCCTGAAACATTCTAGCACTTTCAGTTAACCCTTCACACTGTCCAAGGTCCTAAACATTCCAGCATTTTCAGGACCTTGCACAGTTCCTTCAGCCACTCACACTGTCTAAAGTCCTGAAACACTGCAGAACTTTCAGGACATTGGACAGTTCCTTCAGTCCTTCACACTATTTAATGTCCAAACACATTCCAGCACTTTCAGGACCATGGAAAGTTCCTTTAGACTATAACATTGGCTGTGTCCAAAACGGCAGGACGGGTCCTCCGAAGGTCGAATTTGTCGGCCGCATACGTCACAGCGCCGCGA